AGGTTAGCCACAGTCAGCAGGTTAGCCACAGTTAGAAGGTTAGCCACCATTTGTAGGTTAGCCACAGTCAGCAGGTTAACCACCATTAGCAGGTTAACCACCATTAGCAGGTTAGCCACCGTTAGCAGGTTAACCACTGTCAGCAGTTTAGCCACCATCAGCAGGTTAGCTACCATCAGCAGGTTAACCAACATTAGCAGGTTAACCAACATTAGCAGGTTAACCAACATTAGCAGGTTAGCCACCGTCAGCAGGTTAGCCACCGTCAGCAGATTAGCCACCGTTAGCAGTTTAGCTACTGTTAGCAGGTTAACCACCAATTAGCAGGTTAGCCACCGTTAGCAGTTTAGCTACTGTTAGCAGGTTAACCACCATTAGCAGTTTAGCTACTGTTAGCAGGTTAGCCACCGTTAGCAGGTTAGCCACCGTCAGCAGTTTAGATACCCCTAGCAGGTTAAGCACGGGTAAATGTTTACTCAGAGGAGCAGATTAGATGTGGGCACCATCATCAAAGTAATAATAAAATTAATCTTCCTTAAATGGTTCTTAGTTCCAACTAAATAACTTTGCACCAAAAACTCATCCTTCAGTTTAATCCCAGAAGGGAAGAATTAACTGCAGCATCATGAAACCAGAACAGGGAATTCCCTGAACTTCCTCTTCCTCAGTAACCAGGCTGTGAAGATGCTGGAGTCCAGGGAGAAGGCCACGCCCAGCATGTTCGGGGAGCTGCTCCGGAACGCCAGCATGGGCGACCTGCGCAGCTGTCCTGTAAGGCTCCAGGAATTAAAAACTCAGAAACCTCCTGCTGGTTCCAGACCTTCACGTCTACCGTCTGCCTCCTCCTCAGAGTCAGTGCGGTCAGCAGCTCCGCATGGCCCGCGTCCTCCTCAACAGCCCGGAGATCATCACCATCGGCCTGGTGTGGGACTCGGAGCACTCGGACCTGGCCGAGGACGTCATCCACTCGCTGGGAACCTGCCTGAGGCTGGGAGATGTGAGGAGTTACAGCAGCAGACCATCAGATAGATAAACCAGAGTATGGTCAGCCAACGTGCTGATCGAGCCTCCATCTGCAGCTGTTTTACAGAGTGACGGAGGAGAAGGCGCGGCAGGCGGAGCTCTACCTGGTGGGCATGGTCTGTTACTACGGGAAACACTACTCCACCTTCTTCTTCCAGACTAAAATCAGACGCTGGATGTACTTCGATGATGCTCATGTAAAGGAGGTGAGATCCAGACCCCCCCGGTCTGTAGCAGGGCTCTGCAGCCAAACAGCCATTTAGCCCAAAGTCTGGCAAAGTTTTAAAGCAGCAGAATATGAGTAATAGGAAATATTTTGCATCTTAATCAATCAAAAGTTTATCTGTATTTTAACTTCTGGCCCCAGAAACAGTTTAGTTTTTCTTATTTCATTCCGTTGCGGAAATGTGTTCATATATCCTTATTGTAATGCTACGTTCACGCTGGAGGCGCTTTGAGCATCAAAAAAGCTTCTGCTGCTGCAGGACCTTTTGCCTACGTTCACACTGCAGCCTGAAGTGACCCAAATCCGATTCTTTTGCCCAAATGCGACCTGGATCCGATTTTTTTCACGACAGTCTGAACGACACAGATCTGATTTTTTTCCAGTGCAACCCAGAACACTTAGCCCTTTGGTCCTGAATCCGAAACGAAATAGATTTTTTTAAAATGCGACTTGTATCTGAAAGAGTCGGATTTATCCGACCTGACTGACATTAATACCCAGAAGCTACGGAGAAGCGGCAAGAATAACAACAACCATTGCGGATGATGATGCGGGGATTTATATTTATGTTTAAACATGTTGAAAAGATTGAGTTATTTAAGGTTTGGAAAGATTGCTAGATGCGCTCCCATGCTACCGTCCATGTTTACTTCTGTAAACACAGAGCGCGCTGGCCTGTGACATCATCGCGTCTTCTACTGCGCATGCAGGACACTTACGTCGTATAAATGCAGTTCACACAGGAGATCACATACAGGTGGGAAATATTTGGAAATGTGAACGACGCTAAACAATCGGATTTCAGAAAAATATTGGAATTGAGCACCAAAGCCTGCAGCTGGAAACCAGTCTTTGATGTGTGTCAATGATAGAATTTGAATGTAAACCAGCTGCTTCTGCCGCTTGAAGCGCGTTAGGTGTGAACGTAGCATAATCGTATCATTTAGCTACTGTTTAAAGCCAATGAGGATCTGAAGAGCTGCAGGTTGCAGACCGTGGGTCCATAGTTCGGTTATATTTAGACCAGTTTCAGTCACTTTAAACCTGGTTTGTAGAAACGGTCTATCCTGAATGTCTCCTCACCCGGTTCTGTCAGTGGGCGACGTTCAGGATGCCTTCAGGGAACTCAGGCAAAGTTCTGACCTTTAGTTCTGGTTTCAGTTTGGGCTTCATGTGGGAACATCAGATCAAGCTTCAGAGCTGACAGGCGCCCCCTGCTGGTCATCATCAGCAGTAATGATGAAGGAGCTGCATGGATTTAATCTTCTTCATCCTCAGGTTAACTTCCTGTTGATCACAAGAATAAAAGCTGGTAGTTCCAGACTTTTCCGTTACTGTAGAGGAAATATCTGATGAGTTTCCACCCCACCCCCACCCCCCTCCCAACATGCGGTTCGATGTTGGGTTCTGTGAAACGAGGAAATCCCTCCATTGTTTGTCGGTGCAGCTGGACTGAAGGTGTGGTCAGAGGCTCCACGCTTTCTGCCCACACTGCAGACCTCCATCTCTTTCTCTGCTGAACAAACAGCCAGAAGCTTTGGTTTGGTTATTGTTGCGGCGGGACGGTCCGCTCCACGCCGGGACGTCCTGTCACATCCGATGGCAGCCGTGGAAAATGGAGGAAGGGTGGAAATGATAAAGAGAAGCGTCTCCTTTCCACAGAAAAGATAAACGGAAGAGGTTTGTTTTTCCATCAGGGTGAGGAAAGTTCTGATCTTTGATTTGGATTTAAACAATCCAGACGGATTCTGGAAATAATGGAAAATAACTTTAGTTAAACATCACTGACTAAATCTATTCTAACTTATTATTAAAATTATCATTATTATGAAGAGTTTAAACACAATAAAAACATAATAATGGAAAACTTTACAGGTATAATTCATAATGAATATAAACTAAATGTAAAATTGTTTTCAGATCCAGTTCTTATATTGTTGCTTGATAATGGTTCAACTGGTTTATGCTTTTATTGCTTTCTGTGGAAAAACTGATAAACATTTTGATCTTAGTTTAATATATTTATTCGTGCGTCCCAACACTCTTATTTTGAAATTTAGCGGATCAGTTTTACTCTCCGTCAGTCAATGGAAATCTTTGCATCATTCAAACTAGCAAACATTACTTGGGCTCTTTTTTTCTTTTTTTTGAAGAAAATCTTATTTAATAAATATCTACCACAGGACATTTGTTCTTTTTTAATAACCTCAGACCTTAGGTTTAAATTAAAAATAAAATATTAAAATGAAGGAATAAATAATATTTGCTTTGGGTCGCTGATATTTTTTTAAATAGATTTATTTTTAAACTAAATTTTTTCCCCCTTCAAAGATGATATAGATATAGAAAAAAAAAGGCTTCATTCCTGCGAATAAAATCCGCTTAGAGACGCAAACGTCACGTGCTTTCTTTGCTGCTCAGTGGGTAGCACTGCTGCCTTGCAGCAAGAAGGTCCCGGGTTCGATTCCGGCCTGGGGTCTTTCTGAATGGAGCTTGCTGTTCTCCCTGAGCATGCGTGGGTTCTCTCCGGGTACTCCGGCTTCCTCCCACAGTCCAAAAACATGACTGTTAGGTTAATTGGCTTCACTAACTCCTCCTTAGGTGTGATTGGTTGTTTGTCCTGTTTGTCTCTGTGTTGCCCTGGCAACCTGTCCAGGGTGGACCCCGCCTCTGACCTGCAGACAGCTGATGGACACCAGCACCCCTTACCACCCCAACTAGAATAAGCGTGATGGAAAATGGCTGGAAAGTAAAACTTTACAACAGGTCGCTAATATTTTGAGAAAGTAATGTTTAAAAATCCTCTTAAAAAATATGAAAAAGTATATTTCTGCAAAGTCAGTTAGTGGAGAAAATGCTAAAGCTAGCAGCCAGTCCAGGAGTGAAAGGATGTGCAGGAAATGATCCCATAAACACGTGGAGTGAGTCTCTATAAACAGCAGAGAGTCTGAGGCTGATTCTAGCAGTGTTGGTCTCCATGGTAACCCTCCTCTCTGCAGAGCCGTGCGTTCAGATGGCGTCGGTAGATCGACCGGTCCAAACATCCCGCTGCGTGTTTCTGTTTCCTCCAGATCGGCCCCAAGTGGAAGGACGTGGTGTCACGCTGCATCAAGGGCCACTACCAGCCGCTGCTGCTGCTGTACGCGGACCCCCGGGGGACGCCGGTGTCGGCGCCGGACCTGCCGCCGCGTCTGGACCTGCAGCACCTGAACAAGGCCAGTTACGACAGCGAGGACTCGGGTAAACAGACCGTCTGCATGAAGCAGCTGTTAGGAGCTGGACCATAGCGATGACATCATCACTGCCCCCCCCCAACAGGCCGGGAGCCGTCCATCTCCAGCGACACGAGAACCGACTCGTCTACAGAGAGCTACTGCGGCCGCGGGCCCCCCCACTCCCACCATGAGGCCCAGGGAACCCTCATCTCCCCGCAGCGACCGGACCGCGCCGCCTCGCTCTGCAGCCTGGAGGCCATAGGTACCAACCCCCCCTCAGACCCGACCCGCTGGTTCCTCCATCCTCACTCATTCACTGTGATGCATGAACTGTAATCCATCCCATAATGCATCTGTCATCAGACCGCCTGGCGGACGGGGAGCAGCAGCAGGCTCTGAGGAAAGGAGGCGGGGCCTTGGACAGGAGGCGGAGCTCCGGGCGGTCTCGGCGAATTAAACACGAACCGTCATCAGCAGGTTACCATAGCGATGGTAGGCGGGGCTTAGACTTCATTCATATTTTCCTCTCTTCACAGAGAAGCTTTGCTTTGGTTCCTCATGATTCATTCATTCACTCTAAGTTCTGCATCGCTGCTCTCCTCAATCCTCCTCCATGTCTCCTCCTTCCTCCTCGGTCTCCCACACTGTTTTCTTCTCCTCCATCTTCCAGGAGAAACCCTGAAGGAGCAGCAGGTTCCTCGTCACCTCCCCAAACCTTCCTCCTCCTCCTCGTCTTCCACCAGTCGCCTCAGAGACTTTAAGGACACCATGACCAACATCATCCGCCCCCTCTCCTCCTCGTCTTCCTCCTCTCTGCCAGCCGCCGTCTTCTCCTCCCCCTCCTCCTCCCCCTTCATCCAGAACCTCCCAGGTCCAAATGCGGCTCCGGGTTCCTCTAAAGTCCAGGACTGGGAGGCTGACAGCACCAGCAGCGAGTCCAAGTCCAGCGCCTCAGGAGGAGCGGGGCGGTACCGACCCGCCTGGAAACCGCGGAGGGAGACGCTGAACATTGACACCATCTTCACCCGAGAGAGGCGGAGGCAGGCGGGGTACAGCCCCCTGGGAGGACCCCCACCTGATGGGGGAGAAGCTGCTGATGGAGGAGACGCCTCCTTCTCAGCCCAGGAGGAGGCGTCCTCCGTCAGACCTGGATCCTCCAGGACGCTGCCCACCTCCTTCAGAGAGTCACGGCTCCCTCCTCCTCCTCCTCCTCCTCCCAGGTTGATCCAGAGGATGGAGAGCGGCTATGAGAGCAGTGAGAGGAACAGCAGCAGCCCTGTGAGTCTGGAGCTCAACCTGGGAGACAGGTGAGGAACCGGGGAGGGGCCGAGGGGACGTAACCCTCTATTAGCGCGTTCCTGTGGAGGGTCCATCACAGTCAGTGCTGTCCCAAACCATGTAGTGGGTAGGGCAAGTAGAAGATGGAAGATTCTCCTTTAAATAGTTTGATTTGACTGGATAGATTTATTGTTAAGAAAATGGCAAACGTTTGATGTGATGTCATCCTGCGTCACAGAGCTACAGCCATGAAAATTGAAGGTTGTCATAGTAACAAATGCTTCCCTTTTCTGTTGGAGGGAAAAACCGGCACTTTCTCGTTTACACCCCCTACCTTCAATCCAGGCGCCTTCCACAGCTGTGAAAGCGACTTTATTGGGAATGTTAAGGTTAGCGGTTAGCGGTTAGCCGGTGTAGATAGCAGATTGACTCGGGGGCCTGCGCCTTTTGATGACGTCATAATATGGCAATTCCGCCCGTCACAATATGGCAACTCCACTCAAACAAACTACATTGCGCCCGCGGTCTCTATTTGTTCTCGTTACAAATGCAGACCGCGGCTCAATGTAGTTTGTTTGAGTGGCGTTGCCATAATGTGACGTCATCGGGAGGCGCAAGGCCGATGGCGAATTCGGTGACGTCATCGGAAGGCGCAGGGACCATGGAGAATTTCTTCGTAAAATTGTCCGTTTACAAACCGCAGTCCCGCATTCAAATAAAACCTACACCCCGCTATAATTACTTTAGTAAGCTGTCCAGACCGTCAAAATGTTTTGCGCAATTGTGCAAACGTTAAAACAATTATGGCAGCCCGAGTCAATCTGGTACCTACACCGGCGGTTTGGGATTCAATCCTAGAGTCTCTTTCTGCTCTGATATGCTAACAGCAGTTTATGGTTTCTGGCACAACTGGATGAACGTCTTCAATCTTCAGCAGAACATCGAGGTTCACTTTCTGACGGATTGTGTTAAAAATGCAGGTTGAACCAGTTTGAACATGAATTACTGACTGAAAAACCACATTTATTCCATAAGAAACATTTAAATCAGTAAGGTTTAGATTAGACAATCGCTGCTCACAATGACTCCCTATAACCATCCATAGAACATATAGGAAACTCCTGTTATTAGACAACACTGACCCCCGCAGGTCCAACTGGAAATTACACTTCAAAAAACAATCACTGTTAAAAGACATTTTAAAGGTATAAAATATCAACAAGATAAATTAAGATAAAGCCAGTAGGGAAGAGTGATGATATAGAAACTATCTTCTTGTATTTATTTTTATCATTTTATTATCATCTAGTTTGTATTAAATAGATGGAGGGCCGGTAGGAAAACAATGAAGATGATTTTGTTTCAGACTAACTGATTAAAAGCTGTTAATATGATTAAACAATAAATATTTTAAAATCCCTGCTGCTTAAAGTCTGAAATGTTGGTATCTGCATCTGTTAGAGGTTTAGAAATTAAATTACAGCACTGAGATGAAAGTTTAGCTCTTCTGTCTAAATGTTAAAGTCCGTCACTAAAATTTAAGACATGAATAAATCCATCTAGATGAACTGATGCTGTCTTTGTTCTGCAGGGACAGCGCTGTGAAGAAACCTTCCTCCTCCTCCTCCTCCTCCTCAGGACCATCATGGAGGAACATCAGGTCAAAGAGCAGCGGCTCCTTGCTGCAGGACATCGGCTCCACCAGCAGAGGGAGCCTCGGTACGGAGGATGAAGTTTAGAAGTCATGACCCAGACCCGGCTGTTCTCTAAGCTGTGATGTTTGTGTTGCAGCGCCCCCTGCAGGCCGCAGCGAGCTGGACGAGCTGCAGGAGGAGGTGCTGAGGAGAGCAAAGGAGGAGGAGCAGCAGCGGCGGCAGGAGAAGGAGAGGGAGGCGGCTCTGGGCTTCAACCCGAGACCCAGCAAGTTTCTGGACCTGGACCAGCTGCAGGTCCAGGGTGAGTTCTGCAGCTCTGATGGTTCAGAGAGTCGGGCTGAAGCGCTGCAGACTGCGAGCTCAGCAGATATGATGAACAGCAGGAATGTCCCTCTGACCTGCTGAGCGGCTCAAACCGAAACAAACGAAGCGATGAACCAGCAGCTTCTCCCATTGTTCTGACTCGGTTTGTCCTGCAGGTAAAGGCGACAGCTTTGACAGGTGTGTGATGGAGGCGGAGCTTCTGCTGGACCAATCGCTGCGTCTGGAGCAGGCAGGCGAAGTCACAGCGGCGCTGTCTGCGGTCAACGAAGCCGTCTGTAAGCCCCTCCCATTGCACTGACCCCGGCCCTCACTAACAATGTTTAGACCTCATGTTTGATATATTTAGTTGCACTACAGAAATGATCAATAAATAAGTTAAAATCTCTTAATTTAAGTGTATTTCCCCTTAATTTGAGCAGGTAAATATGATGATCTGCTAATGGAATGACTATAATAACTCTAAAAATAAGATAATTAGATAAAATGCACCTGAAATAAGACATTATAATTATTTTTGATGCCCAAATAGCTGCTCTGTACCAGTTAGAGGTTTTCCAGCCCAAACGTTTGTTAAAAACGCCACAACCCGCCCAATTCACATATATCCTTATATTTACTGTGTGAACATGAACACACTTCAGTACAACTTAATTCACCACTACATGTCAAAATGCTTCAATCCAACCAGTTTTTCTCCATATTGATGCCTCCAGTAAAGCACATTCACATGAAAATTAATCTTAATTAAAAACATTGATCATTTATTGAACAAGATGTAATAATTTCGTATTTAAAGTACTTTCAGAAGTTTGAATTCTGAATATGAACAGACTTTTCCTAAAGTTAACTTCTAAACCGCCGATCTGACTCCCAACCAGCCCAAAGCTATTTTTAATCTCAAAATAAAAAATGAAAACCACCCAATAGGGCGGGTTACCGCCCAATCTGGCAACACTGTGAGACTCCTCTCCTTATTTATGGACCAAAGTAACATGATGCATAAGAAGAAGAGGCTGGATTGGATCTTTTTTCTGAGCCTTCAGGCTGGTTTCAGTGTTTTTCTGTTGGTTTTACATAGTTTCTGTTTATTATTTCCTCATTTCTGACACACAGCAGGCCTCACGTCTCATAAACACTCTGATTTCATGTTTCCTTTAAATGATTTTTACATGAAAACCATCATATGTTATTATTTTCTTTCTTTTCATTTCCCATTTATTCTTTCTTTTCTTTATTTTCTGTGTCCGTTGTTCTGTAACTCCCCCACACACGCGCTGCAGCCAAGCTGCGCTCGGTGGCGACTGAGGTTGGAGCTAGTAGCCACAGTCGGCTGCAGCGCTGCACCAGGAGAGCCCGCAGCCTGCAGCAGCGCATGCAGCTGCAACAGGAGGCAGTAAAACAGGAAGCTGTGCTGCAGGAGGAGCAGCAAAAGGAGGAGCCCAGGTACCACTTGCACTGAACGCAGCCAATCAGAGGTCAGGGAGGCTCAGGCTGTCGGGGGTCAACAAAACCAGCTAATTTAACTCTATTCAGTCTATTTCTATAGCTCCAATTCACATCATGTCATCTCAGGTCACTTTCCAGTTCACCAGATCATCCAGTCAGATTGATTCAAAGTTTTCTATCTA